AATTGGCTTATATAAAACTCCCAATATTGTATTTGTAAGTTACTATGCCATAGAGAGCAAAATGTAATTTCTTATAGTGGCAATACTGCAATACAAAGCTATTACAAAGGAATATAGAAAATAAAAGAGACAGGGGGTACAGTTCATTGGAAAAAAATAAAAATATATACATTTGAGAATGGAAAGACCAGTTTACAAATTTTACTGCAACATGGATGATCAGTTTAGTTATGTGGGGTGAAGCTTTTTATGTCACCCACCTATGATATTAAAGCTTAGTTTTTCACTAGTTTAACCACCTGATTTTTTTTTTCCTGTAATATTTTTGTGCAATTTATAGAAATATTGTTATAAAGTTTGATAAATACCATAATGAATTCCCTGAAGCCTGTGACTTGGGATTTACATGAATACATTTGTGCATAGGAGTGCTATATTGGCCCTCAAGAAAACCATATTTATCAGAGGTGAAAGAGAAACCTTTAAATCATTAAGATCCAGATCTGCAATGTTGATTTGGATTTGTGAGTATATATTTCTGATCCTTTGTTTGTCTCAGTTAGGATTGTCCATTCCTAACATATACCCTTGCTAGTTTATTATAATAAAGTAGAGGAATGAGAAAACTGCTCAGTAATGAGAAACACAACAGAAGTGACTGAGTTTCTTCTCACTGCGCTGTCAGATAAACAATGGACCCTCTCTACATTTTTCATTGTTTTCCTCCTGATCTACATGAATACTTTACTAATAAACATATTAATTATCATATTGGTCATCGTAGATCCTCAGCTTCACACACCTATGTACTTCTTTCTTGGAAACCTGGCATTTTTGGACACATCATATTCGTCAGTCACTGCACCAAGAATGCTCTCTGACTTCATCATTACAAGTAAAGCCATATCTATTCATGCTTGCCTAACACAAATATTTTTCTTTATCTATTTTGCAAGTGCAGAGCTTTTCCTGTTGGCTGCAATGTCCTATGATAGATATGTTGCAATCTGCCACCCTCTGCATTACATTCAGATCATGACCTGGAAGGTCTGTGGTCAACTTTCATCTGTGGTCTGGATCCTCGGTTTCCTTTATTCTTTGGTCCATACTCTTTGTTCACTGAGGTTGACATTTTGTGGCTCCAATGTTATCCACAATTATTTTTGTGACCTTCCACATTTGTTCCAGATCTCTTGTACTGACACTTTTATCAATTTTCTAGTAATATTTATTGTGGGAGGATCCCTGGGACTAGTGGCTTTTGCCATAACGTTCTTTCCATATATTCGTATTTTCATCACTATACTCAGAATACGAACAAAAGATGGAAAGCTTAAGGCTCTTTCAACCTGCACGTCTCACCTTTCTGTGGTCTTTAGTTTTTATGCTTCTCTCATATTCATTTATTTTGTACCAACCACAAGTTCTCTGTTTTCTGTAAACAAGCTGGTGTCTGTGGTTTATTCTGTAATTAACCCTTTGCTAAATCCTCTGATCTACAGTGTAAGGAATAAGGATCTTAAGGCTGCACTAAGCAGAGTTTTGCATCATGTAAGTAAAGCAGTATCTCGTGAACTATGAACCAACATACTGCCAGGGTTATTTTCTAAAGTGGGATTCAGAGAGAAATTAAAGTCTTCAGTTTGAAATTCACTTTGAATTCACCCTGAATTCTTACTTTAGTAAATAACAGAAATGCAAAATGGTGGAGCAATAAAGATAAAGGAAAAAAACTCTTTCTATACAAACTCAGTAAAAGGAGCATTTGCTCAGTAAAAAAAAAAAAAGGAAAGAAAAGAAAAGAAAAGAAAAAGGAAAAGACAGGAAAGGGAATGCTGCATGTCACATAGGGACCTATTCATTAGACACTGAATTAGGGAGAATTGAAATTCCATTGGAGACAAGAGTCCTGACCATCCATTTATATGTTTTACTTAAACTACTGACTACTATAATTGACACCAAGGAGTGCAATCCTATAGTGGGTTTTATTTGTGTATATATATATATATATACACGATCCCAGCACTCGAGTTCCCAGTCTTTAATGCCATAGTATAGGAAAGATGATGAGTGCACTCTGGAGACTGTAGTAGTAAAGTAGAAATGCTTTTATTTAGCACAAATAAACATCAACGTGTCAGTCCTCCTGGACTTTTCTCTGAGAAAAGTCCAGGAGGACTGAAACGTTGATGTTTATTTGTGCTAAATAAAAGCATTTCTAATTTACTACTACAGTGTCCAGAGTGCACTCATCTTCTTTGGTATATATATATATATATATATATACCTTAACGTTATTTCCTCATATTCGTATTTTCATCACTATACTCAGAATACGAACAAAATACGAGTGTATATATATATATATATATATATGCGTATATATTACAAACACAAACTCCACGGAGTCCGTGTTTAAAATGGAATGAGGCAAAAATTTGATTCTTTGATGAACTACTTTGCATATGTCCACCCACAATCCTTTGCAGTAGTAACATCACTGCAAATGTGTGATTTTTGAGGGAAAAGCAAGTCTTATGGCTTGACTGGTGTGCAGATCTCTGTTTAACATTATATTGACTGATATATATATATATATATATATAGATAGATATTTTTTTAAATATTAGTTCTGACATGTGTATTGCACTTTAAATATCTATGCGTCTATGTCTGTAACTGTCTGTACTATTGTGCTGTGGAATATGATAGCACTTTATGAATGTCAGTAATAAAAAAAATGCCATGGATTTATACTGTTGTCTAGCTTATTTATAACTGTTACTTATGTATGTGCATATAAGAACACCTTAATAAAAATGTTGTGCCAAAACATTATAAAATTTCAATTCAGTTTTGATCTCAACCTATTTTTTTTTTAATTCAGTGTTTCTTTGATTTATATTCATTATTTACATTTGTTCAATGTTTTATAAATACATTACATATAAGACACATACAACAAATACAAAATCTTTGTCCACAGAAATTATTATAATAACCGCTTAATGTTGGGATAGCAGGACATAACAATATAAAACATATCAAGTATAGAACAAGACATTTCCAATTAGGTTAGTTTTATGACTAGAAAACAAAGAGAATAGGAAAGGCTATTTGAGGGGGGGTATTTAATTTCTTCCTGTGTATTTTTGAGGCTATTAATTGGGATATCTATTCATCCATGGAGCCTAATTTGATGTAGTCATATATCATTGAGGGCATCTGTCTACCTGACCTCTAAATATTATCGCAACTATATTACATTGTAGTGATTCCCAAAAAGACACGGTGCTCTCACAGGGCTTCGTATTAAGTAAACATTCTCATTTTTGATAGGTCACATTCTGTCTTGAAATAACTGCTTAACATAACAAATAACAAAAGACATCAATATATTCCTTTATTCTTTACAGATCGTAATGACTAGAGCTGATACAATGTGAAACCTTGCATTTTCTTTAAAATTATCTTTTCATCTTTTTTCTTTGTCCCTTTTTATATATCTATATATTTTTCCCCGAATTTCAATATTCGGGATATATCTCTCCTGAATCACATAGTAGGTATATCAGAACATAACATATAACATAACTACATAAATATTTATTTCTTATAGTTTTTCCCCCGATAGCGTACTTTCTAGTAACTCATTTGCCCATATTATCTATATTTTACATATAATTTGTCCTCCTTTTTCAATTATCTTTTTCTTTTTTCCTTTTTATTATTAATCTCTTTTTTTTTACTTGTCTGTACATTTTTTCCAGCTCTTGTCATTGCTTAATTTTAAATGCTCATTTATCCCCTGTTCCATTTGGCATTGGTTTATAATTTTGAGTTTTATATCTAATATTTTTGGTGGATGATTGGATTTCCAATTTTTAGCTATATATGTAATTTTGTTGCTAATAGAATAAGGATTATTAGATCTTGCTGGTCTTTTTCTATTTTTTGCCATCCTATATGTAGAAGTGCAGATGCAGGAGAGTACTCTAATTTCTTTGATGTCCACTTCTCTATCCATTTAAACATTATCTTCCATACCTTGCGTATTTCACGGCATGACCACTATATATGTATATTGTCTACTCTGGTTTTACCACACCTCCAACACTCAGAGGATCTTGATGAATATATATTTTAGATATCAACTAACTTATTTTGGCCCAAATGTATCCTACTTTGTTTTCATTTCAGCACAATTGAAAGTATTTTTCAACAGCCAACTGTTACTGTGTTTAACATAAAGTATGTGCTCTCAGAAATGACTTCTTATTTCATCTCAAATCCTTGTTTTGGGGTGTAAATACAAATATACATATAAATAAACATAAAAGTATAAATATAAAAGTATAAATATTTCAAATTTATAATTCAGGACATTTTAGAATAAATTATGTTTTAGAAATGCAAATCTGTAAAATTTGCAAAAACAAATGTAAGAGGGTAAGTGGACCACACGGTGCAGTAGTAGTGCATGCTAACCTCTGGCCATGGGGTCACTCTACACCTCAGGACCTTCTAAGCAACAACAGTCTGGGGTAGAATGCTTTGCTGTTGTTGCTTACAAGCAGGGGTCAAGTCCTGGGGAAAAAAAAGTGTGGGAACTCACCCAAGATCCAGTGCAACATTTATTGTAAAGTGCCAGTTTACACAAACAACTGCAAAATTCACATGCAATAAACAAATATATATAGAACAGATGGAACAAATTAAATTAGCTATGCAATAAACAAATGAATATAGAACAGTTCTAACAACTGTGATAAAGTGAATGGTGTTGTTTGTGAGGGAGTTAACTTGTTAGTCATAATAACAGAATAATCACCACAATGGGTGATATTTCCCTCGCAGGGAATTTCTAAAACAAATAGTGTATAAAAACTAAACACACAGCCCATTAGAAAATATCCCACAAACTGGAATAACGTTGCCCTTGCAGTGCTAGATTATCAACTTTTTGAGATTTAGTATCATCTGCGATGTGTGGTCAGTCATTTTGTGACGTATGGTAAAGGATCCCATAAATTCACAGGAGGCCCAATGAGACTATTAAACAAAAGAGAAGACAGGCGTTCAATGCCAAGCCCACTCCTAATGGGTGACATCACCAAATTCATTGTACTGAAGCCCCTTTCACAATCACCGGATGTCACTGAAAGACTGTTAACTGCTGTCACCACTGGTTTCAGATTTTCAGGAATCTCTGCACCACCATTATCAATGTAGTCTCTGAAACCTTCACAGATGGATGCATAGCTGAGACGGAATCTTTTGCACAGCTGCTCCAGCTTCACTTCACCTTCAAACCAAGGACTGTCCACACTGATTGGCCAACGTTGTGAATTCAGGATGTCAATATCAGAGACAAGAGTTTCAAATTCACCTGACTCTGATGAAGCTGCAGATCTGTTGCTCGCAGTCAAAGCAAAGAGCCTGGAGCGTAAATTATCCACCAAACTTTGATAAAATTGTGGGAGATTTATCCTCACTTGGCCGTTTGTACTCTCTGGATTGATGGTCACACCTTTGAAATTCCCTTTCTCCAGCGATTCCATGACTTCTTTCAGATGTTTGCCAGGCATGTCTTTAATTTTTTCAACTGCACGAACTGAACAATTAATCAGCTGATAAGCTTGTGCGATGTCATCTCTTTGTAGAGCTTCAGATAACAGTCCCATTTCCTGAACATCATCCACAACCCCTGCAAGGTTTAACAAATAATCTTCTGATGTCAAGACCTTGTTAAGGCCACTAAATACAGATTTCTGCTTACTGTTATGAGCTAAGCTTAAACTTGCTTTCAAGAAATGACTGTGTAGGGCAGGGTATGACTCCCAAACTGCTCGTATAGCTCTCTGGCTTGAAGCAACCCATATAACTGAAAAAACTTTTCCAATTTTAAGCATTTGTACTTCTAATTCTTTTGAACATTCTGAGAGCTCTGCCAGATTTTTTGGTGACTGATGATACACAGTATACAACTTCTCAAAAAATGATGTTACATGATGAAGACCAGGAATAGAATCAATTTTATCTGAAATGCACAATTCAAGCCTATGACACAAGCAGTGCCATTTCACAATCTGTGGATATTTTTGACTGAGTCGTTCCAGAACACCCGACCTTCTTCCAAGCATTACACTTGCACCATCACTGCAAACCCCAATCCAGTTTTCGGCAAGAAAGTCATTACTGAATCCAAATTTAGAAAGACAAACTAGAAGAATGGCTTCAATAGACTGTGCATCTGCTTTAGGCAAATCGAGAAAGAAAGTGACTGGGTCTTTTCCGTTAACAGAGGCACAAATATAAACGATTAACACTGAATGGGTAGAAACTGTTGTAGACTCATCAATATAAACAGAAATTTTTGGGGCCTGCTCAACAATTGCTTTGCAAAGCTTTTTTCTCATTTCACTAGCAATGCAATCTATTATTTGTGCTGCTGTGCTCATTATGGAGAATACATTCTAAGTCAGCTTCATTTGCAATTTGCAAGCTGATATGATCTCTGAAGTCTGTGAAAAGGCAATTTTTTTTTGCACAAAAGTAGGCAGTGCAAAATACCTTAGTGGTGGACGCAAACTTATGCTTCTGCCGTTCAGCAATATTGGATTGCAGAATCTCCTTTCTGGATACTGCTTGGATGGCTCCTGCCTTTACATGTGCTTCTGAAATCTTATGTATGTGGATTTTTTTTACATAGTGAGGTCAACATATCTTTTTTGTTTTGCCATATGGAGTAATTGTACCAGTGCTCCATTCTTTAGAAATGGATACTCCCTGTGAAACAGACACTCCAAGCTGTTTAACCTCGCGACACACTTTGCACCCTAAAAGACCATTGTCTACAAACAGCCAAGGGAACTTTTTTTAAAATTCTAGCCACTGATTCTGTTCCCAACATTCTGGAAGAATGTTATCACTGACATAAGCATCTTCAGCCACATCAGTAACCATGTCCACTACAGCCGATTCACTGACTGGTGTAGTTTCTGCAGCGGATACCACCTGCTGAAGCAAAGGCTCATACTGAGTAGAGCAACTTGCAGAATCAGCATGTGATTTTTTTATTGGATGCCTTCGTGAAGAAATCTGTAATACTGCTTTTTCATTTGCTCATTTTTGTACATATAAAATCAATTTAAAAAAATGGTGTAAAATCATTTTCTGATTAAAAAAAAAAATTCTGATAAAAAGACCTCTTTAGGCAAAGAATTCCTCATCCGTTCTGTTATTAACTCTTATTGTGAAAAACTCTTTCCTCTGTTGTCTCTGGTGGCAGTGGTGGGGGTGGTCCGGTGACTGTGAGGTGCAGGGTAAGGCACAAATCAGCTCAATTTTATGAAATAAAATGTATCATTATTCTAAAAATTATTTTAAAAAAAACTTAAATGATCTAACAATTAGTCTCATGTATTAGTCTCCAGTCCAGTGGATGTGACACAGAAATGAGTTATTTTACATATGGTTTGTGATTCTGTTTGCCACTAGTGATGTCCCGAACGGTTCGCCGAACGGTTCGCCACGGACTCATATTGAGTAAACTTTGACCCTGTACCTCACAGTCAGCAGACACATTCCTGCCAATTAGCAGCAGACCCTCCCTCCCAGACCCTCCCACCGTTCGGGACATCACTATTTGCCACCCTTTAGTGACCGTGTTTTTAAGCCCTTAAGGACTGAGCCAAATGTACACGTTGTGATCAAAACGTAAACAAAAACTGGAATTTGCGCTATATGTCTGTTCAGGCATAATTCACCTCTTCATATTATGTGCACCCACACTTATTATATATTATTTTATTCAGGGGAAATAGGGCTTTCATTTAACATCAAATATTTAGGTATGAAAGATAATTTAATATGAATAAAATAAAAAAATGGGAAAAAAATAAGAATTGTGATGCCTTTTTTCTTTAAATAAGGTGTCCTCATACAAAAGGGAGAGAATACTAGGGAGGGCCCTAGTACAAATGGAATAATTGGGGGCAATGTACAAATGGATACTAACCTTAATAAGAGCCTAAGCCTGGCTCTGGGTAAAATGGTAGATGTGCGTGTAAGGGGGCTGTGAAGAAAATAGACTGAGTTTCTGCATTTTCTTCTGTGTTAGTGCTTTTCTACAACATTTCGTGTGTTTTGGATTTATTGGTACGGCAGTTTAAAACTACCGAACACTGACCACCCTCGTGGCTCATTAACTTCAAAGAGAACCGTCTATTAAGTGCTCCCTGGTTGGCCGTCGTTCGTATAGCCGAATGCCACGTGGAACAGAAAACGGGGGCCATCTTGTTTGCATGAAAGGAGGCAGCGGGACTTGGTCATCAGGTGTCTGGAACTAAAATCGGACACTCGACTTCCTGAACCACCGCTGAAACATACGAACGCCTGCTTCCTTTAGTTGCCGAACAGCCAGGAGAGCGCCATTCGGTAGTTTGGTTCATACGAACAAGGGGAGAAAATTGGGTTATTCCTTAACTTATCTCAATATCTCCCAGGCAGAGAGAGGGAGGGTGTTACTGTAAATCTGTATGCTGATTGTTTATTGTCTTTGTTTACTGTGTGAGGTCCTCTTGCAGGAGGATTCTCATAAAAGCCAGCGTGGCATCAATAAAAGTTATTCCTGTTACACCCTTCATGAAGTCTAGGCTCATGCTTGAGGAATATTCTACTTGCTGGGGAGAATCGTCTTGGAAGCTGCATTCATCTACACTATTCCTCTACCTCCTAACTGCAGTTATAATCACTTATGCTCAGCTATTGGGAAAGGAATAGAAGACTGCAGTACCATAACCACTGCAGGTCTTAACAGGGGCTACCACCCTTCTTTAAAACAGCAACAGCAGGAGAGGATCAACTGAAAATAGTATATGCCAAATAACATTTGTTGAAATATACATTAAAAACAAATTATTAAAATGCAAAAAAGAAGTAACATATACAAGAAAAACTCATCTAGTGGTCCTCTTGATCAAAAACGTGTTTTACTGTGTCCAGCATAGCTTGCTTCCTTACGTTCCCCCGTCTGTATCCTGATTGGCTCTCACATTCATGACTTGTCCAATCATGAAGAAGGCTTTGGAGGACTGTTTAGCCCAGCTGTATAGTGTTTGTAATGCCCATTCTGATTACCTCACTCTGGGCGTATGGTGTCCGGCTGTCCCACTTTACCGCATACACAGCTGTATGACTTCCTATTTCCAGCGCGGCATATACACGTTATCATGCCGCACCTGTTGCGTGACGCAGGCGTAGTTGCGTCACTTCCGGATTACCGATCCCAACATAAATGGGCAAAGGAAAACAAAATAAATATTTCTTAAGGGCAAAGAGAGTCCGCAGGAGATATAGACATAACCTTGATTATATAATGAAACATACATAAAAGGAATAAATAAGTTAAAATAATATATGTTTTAAGTAACATATGTACGCTGAAAACCATATAAACAAAGGACAAAAAGAGAATATAAAAACAGAATATAAAAACACAATAAAAATGTTCCAGGAGGGTGGATTTTATCCCTGAAGATTTTATTCAAAGGAACTACAGTTTCTACCTCTTTGGTGGGGAAGAAACTACTTACGCTACACAGGGTTGAGCAAAAACCTAATTTTTACTCTCCTTTTGTAAGTATACCTCCTTTTATTTTGATTTTATAACAACAAAATGGAGAGCACTATTTTTCTGTTTTTATTCTCATTTTATGTATTTGGTGAATATCTGTGACACTGCAATTTGGAGGGAAATATCCATGAACGCTCGAGACTCTGACACTTGACCCTGACCTACCATCTACAAGGAACGAAGCTGAGCGATATATCTACAGACGGGGATCATACCACCCAGGCGCATATATCTGGAGCTGAACATAAGCTCCAGAAATTTGCAAGTGACATTTTTCTTATTTTATCTCACCACCTATAGAACATAGTACACTATATTCTGTTTTCTGTCCTCATATTTTCCATACTGACTCACCACCATACGAGTTTGAGGACACCCAGAAGGTGATCCTTCCCTGTACCCTTTCCTTTTCATATCATTGAACAGTAAACATATCTGGAGTCCCTTGGCAGTGTCCCTCTATTTCATGTTAAATATTTGCTGAGCAGTTTAAAATAGAATAAGAAGCCCTGGACCACTACATGTATGTCTAAGACAGAAATTACACACTTATTAATTCATACCAATTTACACCTTCAATGGAAAGCTTTAATAGGCTAAAAGTGTCTAGCTGATATGTTTAGTCAATCATTGTCACCCTTGCTGCTCAAGCTAATGCTCCCTTATTTGTATGAGCAGCACTGAGGTGATGGTCTTCTGTGAGCTCTTATTTACCAATAAACTATCACAATCAAAGAATGACACTAGAGGACTCCAGACACTATAATCACTTCAATAAGATGAAGCAGTACATACAGTATCCATTTAAAGGGACATTAAAGTCACCAGAACCACTGCAGCTTAACATAATGGTTGTGGTGTTGATAATGTCATTGATGCTAAGTACTGTAAACGCTGCCATTTCAGAGAAAAGGCAGGTTAAATTGCTGCCTAAGAACACCTCTAGTAGTGGTCACCCAGAAAGGCATTAGAAGTATTCCCTGCGTCAGTGCCAGTGTCAGTGCTGTGACAGTGTGCAGTGTGCCCTGAGACCTACTATTTGGGATTTGCAGAGAATAACTGGTGCGTGTGAGAGACCTCTGTGTATGTTGTCACAAAGGAAAACATTTTATATTCATACGAGATGATAGAAACACCTTGTGTCTTTAGGATCAGTATTGTCAGTGCTGAGCTCTGTGTGTCTTTATATATTCTTTCTTGGTTTGTCTCACTGTCAGACTGTTCATTCCTAATTTATGTTCTTCTTCATTTATTATAAGAAAGTTCAGTAAAAGTAATGGGAAACACAACAGAAGCTACTGTTTTTCATTTAACTCCGCTGTCAGATAATCCAGGGACACTGTATATGTTATTTATTGTTTTCCTTCTGATCTACTTGAGTACTCTTATAATAAACTCCCTAATCATCCTCTTGTTTATCATTGATGTCCAGCTCCACACCCCCATGTACTTCTTTCTTGGAAACCTGGCGTTTTTGGACATGTCCTTATCGTCAGTCACTGCACCAAGGATGCTCTCTGACTTCATCACCACAAATAACTCAATATCCTTTCATGCTTGTATGATGCAAATATTTTTCCTAATATATTTTGCACCTTCAGAGCTTTTCCTGCTAGCTGTCATGTCCTATGTAGTGATGTCGCGAACCCAAAATTTTCGGTTCGCAAACGCGAACTTTCGCAAATGTTCGCGAACCAGCGAACCGGGCGAACCGCCATAGACTTCAATGGGCAGGCAAATTTTAAAACACACAGGGACTCTTTCTGGCCATAATAGTGATGG